TAACAAAGGATATAATACCAGAACAACGGTTACAACAATCATCAAACGCGTTCCCGTTAGGAAATTATTGGGGAAAACACACTAACTTATTTGGATACTTGAATTATTGGGATTTTGTGTTTAAAATAATGAGAGACGAGTTTCGTCGACAGAATATAAATGGGGAAAATTGCTTAACCATATTTTATTACCTGTATGCTACCTGCGTCCTCAAGTGATCGAACAATTCTGCAATTGCCTCTAACAACACCATGACTGACAGGCATTCCTGCAACCGAATTATACGTGTGTGGATACAAAATATACTTATGTACATATAAAGACATTTTGTATACAATATATTATGCAACGTGCACAAATATGTTGTTGCACCTTTAATTCTAGATCGTGCCTGAGAATGATTAAAATTTTGTGTACTACTACGTATGATGTTATGCCTTCATACAATATTATACCGATTTTATGTTTATCTTTTATCATATAATAACATCAATTATGAAAATGGTGAGTATGAAAACCTATATTTTAAATGAACATGTTTATTTTCTACTGCAGATTATGATGAGTATAGATATGAGCACTTTAATAAATGCACTGAAGAGACGATATGAATGTAGCAAGACTATAAAATAAGACCTCCAACCTGTTCAGTGGTCCTGTTCCTGTACAAGACACAGTGTTATGTAGACGCGGGTCTGCTACGCATGAGGAGGACCCTCACACACACATGCACGCAAGCACGCTCACACACATGCACGCAAGCACGCACACACCCACATATGTTCAACCATATACCTGTTAGCTCTGAAATAGTAGGAACATCGTCTTTCTATCATCTTCAAACTGAAAACGAAAGAAAAAGTACGTATATACGCACACACATACACACACACTCACACACGCACGCACGCACGCGCGCGCGCACGCACGCACGCACGCACGCACGCACGCACACACGCACACACACACACACGTGTGTACGTGCGTGCGGGTGCGTGCGCGCACGTGTGTGTGGCGCGCTATATGCACAATCAAATTATTAGAATGCTTGAAATACTTGTACTGAGAATAGGTGTAATGTAAAATTAGTAAAATTTATCAACAGTAATTTATATGGTTTACAACTACAAGTAGGTTCTACGGTAAAAAATAATCAACATACGGGCGTTGGGTAGCCAGTAATAATTTCAGGGAACTGCATGGCCATCAGCGATGGCATTAGCTTTCTCCTTCGAATTGCTCTGCAATAAAACATGAAACATTAACACAAAACTGTGGAGTATCTAGGGGGCCTACATCATGACTATAGGCTACTATATCAGAATCATTGTACGTAATAACGATACAATAGCTAGTAAACGATCAGACAGGAAATTAAATAGGCTCTTAGTCCGGTTGCCAAATGACTGAACGTTGCAATCGGGTATATACAAGGTTTTTTGTGGTTTCCTGATCTTTAGACTATCCTGAACCGGAATCCAGCGGGTGCCACTTTGGCACCCTTGGACAATTTTTTTTATTACAGAAAAAGCAGATCGTATATTTTCCCATCTGAGTGCGTATAAATTAAGGGGGTAGGCATGCTAAACTTGCAATAACTTCCGTGATATTCGGTCAATCTTCAAACATTTTGGTGTCGTTTTGCTCATTAAACACATGCACAATCCTAGACTAATTACACCCACAACACAACCATCAGAAGCCATCAGATATCTATTATATTACATTACGCTACACCGCACTGCGCTGCACGACTCTGCGCTCCAACACGCCGCGCCACGCGAAAATTGGTAACTTCATTATTGAAACGTGAACAGTACTAACTTGCGGATGAGCTGGCGGACCGGGTACGGATTAGTTTGCCAATTTCATTATGTCGCAAAAGAAGATCAACTCTTTCTCAGGAGACGACCCTAATATTGTTAAGGAATTATATAAAATTAATACATACATTAATATAAAATATTCATCCTGTTATGTTTAACTAAAAAGAAAATCAAAATAGTGTCAATAAAAATAATTCTTAAACACCTGAATTAGAAATTCGGCACAATATCCGTTTATAATGAGCTAATTAGTTATGTAATTCTTAGGTTGTGTGATTCAGGGATGAAAGCTTCGAGATAAATAAATTATCATGTTAAACCACGTATGGAGTGATATATAAGAATTTGGTGCCATAACATTGAAAGTAAAACATGGAAATTATGACAACACTGGCACCTCGTGAACAAGCAGCTCGGCTAGTTTAGTGTATCCCTGGCGCAGATGTCCATCATTTTGATTCCGATACTTTTTACTATTTTCTCTCTGGCCAACGGCTGCTCTTGCGAGTGGTAAAATAACCCGCAGTAACTTTCTGCAAAATATTCTCTGTTAAACGAAACATTTGCGTGGTCCATTCTTGAGCGCGTTTTTTAGAGCTAGATATAGCTGTTATGAGCAGTTAATGGCTGTCAATCGTTGACACAGAACAATCAAATAAAACTGTACATAACGACAAAGCTATATATGTTAAAACTATGCGCGCGCGCGTGTGTGTTTGTATGTGTGTGTGTGTGTGTGTGTGTGTGAGTGTGTGTGTTGCGTGCGTGCGTGCGTGGTGCGATGCGTGCTGCGTCGGCGTGCGCGTGTGCGCGGCGTGGGCGGTGGTGTGTGTGCGTGTGCGTGTGTGTGTGTGTGTTCGTGTGTGTATATATATCACTTGCGTTTTAATGAAGCCTATTGGTAGCTTAATATTCTCAATGGCTTCCTCCTCTGTCATGAACTTTTTCGTGTTCTTCATCTTGTCTGGTGATTTCGTCATATCCTTGATTACGTGAAAAATGTAAGAAACGAAATAACCAACATATCTAACTAATTGATATGCATGTATTTAAATATGTATGTACTAGATAGATAGTCTACTCTATATTCTGTTTTAGAAACTATTCATATCTACATCGCATTCGCCTGGAATCCTGATACAATTTGAGTAATGTATTACGCATGGCACTTGTAAATTACCTGTATGGTTCTGACAACCTTTTCAGGTTCAACTCTCCATGGATTTTCCCATAGTTCAGACTGAAATAGAGTTCACGCAGAGCCAATATTAATGGATATTAAAAGAAGAATATAAAATTGTTAAAGTTGGCAATATGCTAGACCATACAATTCATGGAGTTTGTTACCGTTAGATATGCGGGACTATGTAACAACGAATGATACAAGGCGTACTGGAGGGCAACTTGGTTATTTTTCTTCAAAGAAGATTTTTAGATAAATCTACTTGCCTTTTTAAACTTTAGTCTTATACCTAACATAATTACAGGTAATCAACTTTACCTCGCGTACGCATCTGTGACCATGCATCTCTATAAATTTGGCAAACTCGACTTTCAGCTCTCCGCTCTCATCCGTATTTAGCCAACGAACTGCCTCGATTGAAGACAAATGCTGTGCCTCGATTGAAGACAATGACTGAAAGAACTCGGCTTTATCGCTGTCAATCACCATTCCCGCAATTTTCCTGAGAGCATGTGGTACGTCAGCACTCAGTACGTCTGGGCAGGTTGATAGAAGTAGAGCAACGTCGGACATCACGCTAGCGTGATCTGCAATCACACATTGAGTTAATGAATCTAAACACCTCAAATTTGTACGTATGATTCTTTTAGGTTTCTAGGTTAATGATGTTAGATGTTTAGCATCTGCGACAGAAATAATTGCGTTTTTGTAAACATGTGGTAAACGGTTTGCATTGGAAATGGTAGTTCCCATAGTATTGTTTAATGTAGTAATTTACACAATTACCGTGTACTTCCAGCCAAAAAGTGATGACGATGACAGTCTAGACTATATAACAATTGCTAGTTTTGGAAACCTATAACTCGCCTTCATCTAGACCACTGTCCAAAATTCGCCTGATTATGCCACTGCCTAGGAAAGCAGCCATTGATGCTTTCATGTGGCAGTTCCATGTCTAAATAAATATAATTAAGATTATTTGATATAATGATGTTATGGAGAATGTGTGTTTATGCGCTAATTCCAAAATTGTTCCATATGTTCGCGTATTTTGAGTGGCTTCACACATTCGGTATAGACAAAAATAGGCAGAACTAGACGATCCAGTAACAATGTATGACTTCTAAAGTAATGAAATATGCCGTGCCGAGTAGCTGGCATTGTACTCGTTTCTGTTAACGCAAGTAAGTTATCACATACCGCACACATCGCGAAATCACGGACACGTATATTTCAGTAACATTATACGTGCGCCTTTATACATTTGCTTCAGGAATTACATACATAGTAAGGATAGCGGCGTTCTCGCTTCGTAATTATTTTATTTTTAAAGTTAAGTGAAGTAATTTATTTATTTAATTTATATTTTGCGCGATGTACGAACGAAATAGAATTTTACAATAAATGAAAAAGTACATAGCCCTACCTCACCACCAGTCTGAAGTAGTTTGTCAATTTCTTGATATAGCAAATGTGTGTCTGTGGTACTGAAGTCTGTGTTTGTCGCTTCGATCCTGGCTTTACCTTGCTGAATGTAGCGCTTGCCTCTAAGCGCAGACTATAACGTAGAAATAATGCACTGCAAATTCCAGTGTTGTCATTCTATAAGCTATTGCTATAGCTGGGTTTCGCTATTGTGATTGTTCGACACCTATAACGCGGCACCTGCGCAGCCAATAGGAGAAAAATTGTGACAACAAATCGCTAATAAAACTGTGTTCATGACCATGTACGTACTATGTGAAACTGGAGACCTCCCATAATCTTTCTGTACCACGGTATGTAGAGATTCCTGTAACGATTATGGATCATGTCCAAATTTCCATCACCTAGTGACTTTCCAAAAAACATGACCTCGCATTCGTCCTTTGCGTCTTTTGTGTTGACGAATGCCGTGTATTCATTCAGGTAATACATTCCCTATAACGAATAATGTTTTGGTAAATGGTGACTTCTTAGTAATCAATCATACATGACTGTTGCACTGTTGCTCTAGTCTGCTATTCAGTTAACCATGTTGCATGTTTCTGGAATATAAAACTGTTAGCACAGTGGCATATATTGAAAAGTAACCGTTTTACATCACTGTTTTGCATTACTAGTTGAACAAATAGTCGATTATTGTTAATACGCCATGTTGCTTTTTGTTAAATTTGAATTTAAAAAATGTCTAGAGAACTTTAGCGATTTTAGCAAGTTCGAAAACTTGTTTCACAAGCAATTCGGTCTACTATATAACTGTTTGTAATGTATACCACCATAGTTACCGTTAAATTGGTCTACCCAAATTTATAGTCTACACATATGTTGAACTATTATAATATGAACCAAGAATTTTCGTTTTGCAAAATGTGTTATACTTACTGTGCACATATTAAGGAAGAAATGTTTGCAAAATGTAGACCCTCCCATTTCTGCGTATGACCGTTGGCATGCTTTGCTGCCCAGCATTTCAAACCCCACCTATAAAATTACACACAAAGGTACGCAATTTGTATATCGGTAACACAAACGAGAAAGGAATTCTATAAATTCTTACTTATGCCATAGCTAGATATCGGCAAGAACTTAGGTTATAAATAATACCATTTATCGATTTTTTGGACAAGAAGCAAATATGCTTTACTTGGGTATGCATTGAATCACGCAACACAACTAACAGGAGTTAGCAAATTTTATTAGCAAATGGCCAGTGAGTCTAATGAGAAGGTATTCTTAGAACATCCATGCATTGCAATAGGACCAGTATACACGCTTTCATTCACATGTAAAACGATACGCGCGATTGTTTGAAATACTTTTGGATATTCTGACAGAGTGGCCAGTGGTTTATTTTGTTGCGTATGCGAACATGGGTTCGTTAAATTTCTGGCAGTGCCATGAAGCCAAGAGGCTACCTAATTTATATTAAGCAACGACATTATGCGCAACGCACATCATCTAAGGTAAGGTGATCTATTGTAGAGCGAAATGTATCGGTGTCTGAGTTGTGAGTACACGGCAATTTAACGGACGTTGACATTCTGTGTATTCTTCGGATACTGGCGGATGGTGGAGGTGACGTGCGCGCGCGGGCTTGGTGCGCGTGCAGGTGGTGTGCTGGTGCGTGGAGCGCTTGGGTGTGTTGTGTGCGTTGTGTGACGAAGGAGTATGAGACACAATGCAGTGTGCGATCTGAGTGAGAGGGCTTATACGCCTAACAACAAGCGAGCACAAGCTCATAAATTGTGGACCAAGTGCCTGATTTGTAACATAGATACAGGGACCATTTCCAAAATAATGAAAGGACACTATACCTAAACCATCATTATCTCCGTGGACATACCCCCTACAATACTCTACCGAACAACACGATAGTTACTGCCCACCCTGCTCACACCCTATATCGCTGACTAGAACTAACAAATAGTAAAACTATAGTACCCAACAGGTGCCAAAATATTGCGCCGAGACCTACCGCCGCTGTGTGTTTAATAGCGGCAACAAAACCTATCGTTATGCTTTAGTTACTACAAGGTCTCATACTGCCCTAGACCATTAAAATTGGAAATAAACACATCGGAGGTGAGCAGTGGAGGTCATAGCCTGCTTTGGCATTCATTTGTCTCTGTAGATGAAATTTGCAAAAAAATTATGTAAACTATAGGCGAGATGCGGAGAATTGTTAACGAAAAAATAATAAAAATTAGAAATGTCCGTTGACTTACTTGTAGCTTACCCGAGTGTTGGCATTTGTAAACATTCGTTGTCAATTAACAACGGCCCATCACCTCATGTATGAGCTCAAACTCTGACTCTGATATTAAGGGACGTGATTGGTCGAGCATGAAGCAGGTATAATCGGCCATCTTTCACTGCAAACTCGGATGTCTCGAGCATGCGAGAACGACTTCTCAAACCATATGTGGAACAAATTTTACATTAGAATATTACAGAGGACTGCATCAAATACGTTAATTTGTTCCATAGGCACATATTTATAGTAATAACGTTTTAATCGACGGCTACAAGAAGTATTTACAACTGCGTTATAAACAAGTAATTCATCCGTCGACATTCTGTATATGCTTGCCGTAAATATCAATATAATTGCTGTCAATTACTTGAGTATCCCACGTAATCCCAGATCTAGTGACGTGTTGTCTAGTTCCTGCCGAGCAATCTCGTAATTGCTAATGTGTTTCCAGCTTCCATCATCCCTTCCTCTCCTCTAACGTATGATAAGTCTCATGATTCTCTATTATTATGGTCTGGGGCTTTCTAATTGTCAGCTAATCCCACAATATATCTACATAATAATTATTGCGCTATAATTCTTCCTCTCACTCGTTAACTAACAATTTCTCATCCGTTCAATATAATTTACCATAAAGGTAGAGACAACCGTTTTTTTATCTTCCTTGCCTTCCCAGATCTTTCTCTTGACCACGTGCGTTATCAGATGAAACTTCTTTGCCAGAAGATTAGTGTGTCATGATTCTTCCGTCACGTCCCGACACATACTGCCTCTGTAATAAGAACCGCCGATGCCCGCAGAAATTGATGCAAGGAAAAATCATGCTCTTGTTGTACTAAAGCTCTATAGGTTTATAAATAGAGTCGTCTTTAGAGCTCAACTCTATTACTCCACCACATTGCTATGCGGAGGAATGAATCTGCTTGCCCCCGCACCACTATCGCAGTCTACGCACATCTTGTCAGTTTTTACTTTCATCTCTCCCTCTCTCCCACTCTCTGCAAGAACACCTCGCAATAATCGCACTCACCTCTCTTCAAATTCCCGCAGTATTGATACGTTGATGGTGCTGATTTCTTAAGAGGGTTGATACCGTTCTTACCGGATCTCTTGTATAAGAGCAAACACAGGCAACGTCTTCGCGCCATATACAACCAAACCTCATATTGTATTGGCAGACGCCGACATCTGCGGCTACAATTTGGCCGTAATTCCTGTAAAAGAAATGTAAATGCTGTAATATGATTACGGAGGCTCTATACTTTTATCCGCTACAATGCAGAACTAACGGCTTTGGGTAAAATAGCGTGCACTAGTACAGGGCAGTCATGGCGTTGCATCTGTAACATTTCATCAAGAGTCCATGATACTAATATGAGCTCTTTATGTCATACATTTACTGATCTCAGAGCTATATATGATGCCACGCAAGGACATTAATGCTTATTTTATCATCAGTCTCTCCTTCTTTACCGCAATAGTGAAAATGTACCCAAGACCCTCAATCTCCTCAAACCCCCCCCCTAACGATCACTCCTACAACGCGCAACTAAAACAGTGAAAGACGACGCCCAACATTTTGTAATAGCATTGCAAATCTGAAAAAAAATCATATTTAAAGCATGTGAGAATGCACATTTTACGAATGATTCTGTAAAGGCACGTACTAAGCGGGTACAATGATGGGAAATCAATGTACTTGCAGCCTTAGTCGAATCGTCCACCGCGACCTCCCCTCCCGTTAGCTACGCCCCTGTTTCATTTTACACATTAACCAGTTCGCGAGACCATTACGCGGAAATATCTTAAATCTTATCTTAAGGTGGGTCAATTGGGATGCTTTTTTAGTTTCTTGTTACAGGCTTTAATTTGCATTTAAAAACGTCTCATTCCGCTCATAATTTTGTATCTAATATCGTCCATTATAATGGCCTATGGACGCACAAGCGAAAAGTTCTCGCATCTGTCCAGCGAATGATGCCTCCCCGCCGTCTTCTCCTATAAAACAGTATTTAACTTTATTGTTAAACTCCTGCTTTTGTATTAGATGTTTATGCACGCATCAGCAATGATGAGTATTTGTTGAAGGGCCACATTCCAATTAACCATAGCATCACATAATTTTTAAATAAAAAAATGTTTAATTAAATGTAAAATTTTTTTTCTTTTTTTTTTATAGCTACTTGCGCTGGTCTCACTAACCATACTTCCTAAACGAAATCGCGGATCATTATATAAGACCAATGCTGTCCTTGCCACCGTTACATTTTCGCTAGTTTTTCCAATTTATATTCTTAATTTATTGTATATGAATATCTAATAAACTTCCTATCGATAGAGTTACGCCACGGGATAAGACTCATTATGTATGATATATAATCTTATATGCCCATTCCAACGCAAACGCGTCACAAAATGGTCGTACGTGACTCACAGATTTTCGCAGAGCGCGTCACTACGACCTAGACAGACGTCGCTACTCCTATAGCAAAATGTATTTATTTGCGTCCACTGGCATCACAGAACTCTTAGCTTTCTGTACAGTTGTTTGGAAAACTGTCCTTCTCAAATCTGGATCAGGATGGTCTTTGCTAAGTTATTTCACAATGGTCGTGTGAGAGACCTCCCGAATATCACCTTTCCTTCTTTTACTGAAATAGCATTAACGCCGCGCCAAATGCATTCCTTAATAATTTATACTGCAATTACTAAAATGTAAGCAACAGGATAAACAGATGGAGGGAAATGTTCCGTAGTTATGTGCTTAGTATGTTACTGAAAGCGATGATATAAGTATTTCCACTCTCCTTCTTTCACAATCCATAACATCGTTCCTTAAAATAAGTAATATGTATATAGGCAACATTTTTCCAGTTCTTTGTATGCTGTCACGCAGATGTTTGTTTATCTTTCAAATGTTGTGTCTGTACTTCGGCAACTGTTTAACAGAACCCATAGGACCGAAAACTGCATCAATAATTATTTTTTCGTCATAAACGTATATATTGTACTGCGGTACTCGTGGAATGACCAATGCACGTGCTTTGTAGATTCCTGCACACTTAACACGACCATAGTCGATAATATGTTGCAGAAACCTAAGTACAATGGGCCAATATTCAATAAACTGCATATTATTTCGGCCATGTGCCTTATGCATTATTCCTACATTTTAGATTATGTTCTGATTAGTGCCACTGTGACGCAACCCCACTAGGTCGTATCCAATAATCACCCGTTACATCACGCCAGTTCTGTCTATTCCTATCGCTGAACTATATAACAATGTTCAGAATGGCAACATATATCGGCTATATGATGCTAGATATGGCTATATATATATGGCAATATTATTGGCTATATATAGTGCCTGTTCACACGTATTTACAACGCGCCTTACTGGTACGCGTACTTAGTGTTGTGTGGCTAAGTTCCCGGTTAAATAGACTCAGCTAGTTCACATCGTCATTTTACACGAGAGGGTCTGTTCGAGCATTAGCTATTGACTCAAGGAATATATAGACTGGTACCGGTCGGACAGTTCCCACTGCTACACTAACGATCACAGATGCTCAAGCGAGGATCGAATAGAGCGAGAGTAGTCACTGTACAGGTAGGAGTGAGCAATATTCTCGGCAGCGCGCCAGCGTTAGGTGGTGCCGAATATACGCGGCTTAGTCTGGCGCGGAAAAGCAGCAGGGCAAGCATTCGCGGGGCTAAGCA